TTGAAGAACTTCACCACAGAAGCTTTGATAACACGGGGATCTACCGTGACTACATTGTCAACTTTAAGAGATTTGATACAATTTATCCTCCCTCTTACTGCCGCACTATGATGGAAAAAACTAGTGTTCTTATCTCCATCCAATCTCCACTTTATTCTAGACTTTTGCATCCAAATCGATTCTTTTTTTTTTGTAGCTCCCATAATTCTCTCTTTGCTTCGACAATAGATTGCATAGACACCATGGGAAGTCCTTTTTGCAAGTCCATTTCCATATCATGAATTCCTCTCTCCAACGTTCTGATTTTTCCTGGCAGCTGAAGATAATCCCTCCTCGACCATCTCTTTGCCACATCCTTCCCCCGATTAAGAACTTTGGATATGGACATCGGGTTTGCCCCTTTGCAGAATTTAAACAACTCTGTTTTCATCATCTCATTAAACCCCTCTTCTTCCAACACATAATTAAACAACCGAAACGGTTTCGGCCCCCAATTACATTCCTTATTCTCCAACAAAATGATATTGTGATCAGAGACAGACCTTGGAAGCAAGGTTTGGCTTAATTTTGGAAAAGACGAAAAATATGAATGATCAACCAAAAACCGATCCAACCTCTCAAAAGTTGGAACTTCCCTATTGTTACACCATGCAAAATGACCTCCAAATAACGGCAAATCAATCAAATTCGCCTGACTAACAAAATCTCTGAAATTGTTTATAGATACCGGATTCACTGCTCATCCATCTTTCTCTTCCTGAGTCAATACTGCATTGAAATCTCCTCCTAAACACACTGGGCAATCAAGCTGTTCCAAAAAGGATGATAACTCCCTAAAAAACTGCTCCTTGTCTGCATCAACACTCGGACCGTAGACATTAATAAAACAACATATTCCTGGATCTCCTTCCATTAACCCTTTTAATGCCACAAATCTGTTGTGGATGACTTCTTCCTTCACCACAAAATCCTTTTGATTCCACAAAGTAATTAAACCACCAGCAGAACCCACAGCGGGAACTACTACTGCACCAGTGAGTATTTTACCCCCCATTTTCCTTACTAACAAAGGACTTACAACTTCCAGTTTAGATTCTTGTAAAAATAAAATTATAGGCCTTTTCTCCTCAACAAACCTCCTACTTGCTCGAGCTTTCACCCTTCTACCCAAACCCCTAACATTCCAACACATTATGGAAAACTCTACCATCAAAATCATACCATAACCTTAAATCCCTGTTCCTACTACCCACCATCAATCATCTCTCTCCTTTACCATAGGACCTACTTTAGTCAAGAAATCTATCTCCCCTCCTTTAAATTTAACCCCCAACAATTTAGAGACATTCCAACATTCCAAAGCTTATGTCCTCCCCTGGTTATTCTTATCTGAAACATAATCCGACACCTTACCACTGCAACTTTTAACTTCCCACCTCCTAGCATACACATTCTTATAAAAACCTCTTTCAGCTTTACTAATTGAAGCACTCCTCCCAATAGGGCACCTCTGGGCCAATGAAACAGACCCATTCTGCATACCATTTGTAAATTCTGCAGACTTAACCCCATTTCGATTTGATCTTGGACTTCTCTACTCAGGCCCAAACACTTTTCTCCTCCCCATGCTGGAAATAAGCCCATCGTCTTTGACCACTTTATCTTGTCCCGAGGTAACATCTCCCAAGCTCTGCACCCTTTTTCTTCCTGCAGAAAAAACCCCTGACACTTGCTGTTGACTATGAACCTCACCTAGTACTGTCCCCTCAGAACAAAAGTCATCTCCTAGGATATTATTGACTTCTACCTTTTCATTCAAATTACTATCGGTAAGCGTGACACCTCCATTTGTAGCATTCCTAACCCATGCTTCAACATTGTTCTGAGTGTCTGTCAACATTTTGAAATTCAACTGCTCCTGCAGACCCTACCGGTCATCCCCTTGATTCCCTTCCGACGAGGTCTCCTCCCATGGATCAATTGTTCCCTCCGCAGAACCCTCTTCATCCACTCCTTCTTCTATCATAGGAAAGAAATCCTCACTGCCTTCCACTTTAATCTTAATAATAAAAGGCCTTCCATAAGTGTTAATGGTGACCTGGGACGGGATATCAAACGGGCTCTCAACCCTTAACAACATATGAGCCACCCTGCAATCCAGTTTTTGAGTTGTATGCTCCTGGATCTTCACTAATTTACCCCATCTCGATGCCAAACTTGTAAAGAAAGAACCTGTCCAGCAATTTAACGGTACACCTATCATGGAAACTGCACAATAAGGTAATGGGACACACTTCTCTTCCATAACAGGCTCCAGCCTTTCAAACCAAAAGGACAAAGCCTCCCACTTGATTTCCACCGCTGCATCTTTCTCCTCCACTGACCGGAAGACTATCAAACAAGCATTTTTTGCATAGCCCCACCTTACCACCTTGACATTGATTCCCTCACTCCTTAAAGCCCTCTGAACAAACTCAACTTCAAAAATCGCTTTACAAATACTTGTTAAAGACGATCTCAACCATATTCTTTCCTCCATAGGAATAAAGACTTCCAAAGGCTTCTTCACCTCCCTCCTATCTCCAGATCTGATTACATGCTGACCCTCAACATTTCTTACTCCCGCTACCATCTCCTTATATGTTCTGCCATCACGAAACATGTTCAACAGCTCCTTCTTCCCAACATCAACATCTTGACATATTGGACTTTTCCTTTTGGAAACCTCCACACATGCATCTCCAGGCCCCGCTACACTATTGCACTTAAGGTTCCCTGGAAAACTGCTCTTCTGATATTTTGCAGTCGAAACCACTATTCTCCTCCCATCTACCATGACATTGTTCATCTTACTCATTGCATTAAGCAAATCCTCCTTGCTTGCAAAGTGCACAAAGGCAAACGTTTTATCTTTATAGTTAGGTCTCCTATTAACGAATGGAATGAACACCTTAACCACCTTGCCATGAAGACAAAAACAATCCCATAAAACACTTCTATGCACTCTTCTACTAAGATTGTCTATGAATGCTACCCACGATCCTCCACCAGGCACTGTTCTACCTCTGCCAGGAGAACCATTGCCTCTCGGCTCCACACACTCTCTCTCACTAACTTTCTCACTCATGTCTAATTTTATAAATGGCTTTTTGAATAAACTCAATATCATACGAGTCTTTGAAAATGCCAGTCAAATACCTCTTGATCCAATCCCTCTACTCCGAATGGATGAAAACGTTAAAGGGACGTTTCGCTATTTTAGAGCCATTATTGTCTCTATTCTGCGGACCCTCTGCAACCTTCTATCACCAACCAAAGAGACCCTATAGGATCTCCCATCATGGAACTTATTGAACATCACTGGTCTGTCTTCAGAACTTTTAGCGGAGCCACCAGACCGCCTCTTCGACCCTCCAGCTTCTGCTCCGGTCGGAATTTTCTATAACTGAGACTTTTGGTATTTTTCCACCCCCATCGATATTCTCTTCATGTCAATCACTGTATATTGTTAACCTTCTCGATGGCGTTTAAAATATCCTTTTGACTAGCAAAATGAACGAAAGCAAAAGTAACATCTCTATACCTTGGCCTTCTATTGACGAGAGGGATGAAAAACTTGGTAACCATGCCATGGTGGTTGAAGAATTCCCACAAGGCACTTCTAGGGACACGTCTACTAAGATTATCAATGAAAGCAGTCCATTTTGCTCTAGTGGAGAGCGAACCGACTCTAAGACTCATTGTGATAACCGAAATACAATAATAACAATTTAATGTCGTCAGGGTTTAATTTCCAGCTTAAGAGTTCTCCTCTTCAAATCACCTTCTAATACTCAGAAGTTTGATTTATTTGCTTGGTTCCCAGTTGAAGAAGAAGAAATTTAAGTCAGCCTGGAAACTTTGGGGGGCAAGGTCCATGGGCAGGGACTCTATAAATGAAAAGGGATCATCTTTTATCTTCTCTCTTGGTGGAAGGGGGGACGAACAAAAAGTGAAAGAAGTTTTGGTATGGGTTTTGATTGGCGATTAAAATGAAGTGATTAGGAAAACGTGAGTTAAATGCATTTGGGTTTTTTTTTGGAAGGAAATAAAGCTAAGAGCCTAAGGCAAAGAACTAATGGGACTTGGAAGGAAGAAGCAAAGACTGAGGTCGTGTTTTCTATGTAAACATAAAACCTATCCATTTCATGTAGCATCAAATAATGGATTTATTTTTTTAGTTGAACTCAAATTTAGCTGTTGTGACTTGTGAGACCAGAATAAGTTGACGTTACATATTTTACTTGTGATATATCAACCCAAAATGCTTCCCTATTGTCAAATAAAAATTAAATTTCCTTGTTCTCGTTTTCTGTTTTTTTAAAGAATACTTATCTGGTTTTTTACATTGTTAAATAAATACAGAAATGTTATAGCATGAATAAAGACATGATCCTTCCATGTGTCTTTCAATCAGGATCTTCTTTAAACTTGAGGAAATCCATTATGCATTTTTTCCCAATATGCATGTTTCTCCTTAATAGATTAAACATATTTATCGATATGCATGTTTTCCTTATGGCTATGTTTGTTGTTGAATTCAAACATGAAGTTGAGAGCTTGACTACGGCCATTTTTTTAATATTAAAGGTAAAAAATTAAAAATTAAAGAGAACTTCAATCAAGCAAGCTTTTCATGCACCAACTACCTTAGCATGCTTTGGTGCACCCAGCATGCACCTGATCAAATGTGCCTCCCCTAAAAGGGTCCAAGGCACTTTTGTTTTCCAACAATAAGGAACACACCTAAACAACATTATCCTATCAATGTAAATATATGTATATAAGACTACAGCCACAAATAAATTAATGGTTTATCATCCACAAATCTAAATTTCTCTGATCCAGACCTTAACTTTCTAGCAATTGTGATTTTCTACAAGAAGTTTCTCCACTATAGAATAAAATCTATGAGCTACATATAATAAACAATATAGGCAATCTGAGAATGGTACACTTACATGCGAAGTTCTGATCTTCCATTCCAACTGATCATGTAGGTACTGCAAATATATAGAAGATTGTAAGTTCTTGGTTGTCGAAATCTTTTACTCAAAGTGAAGAATACAAGCTGCTAAATAAAGCACAACCCTAAATGGTCCAACAAAACTAAAAGGAAGTCCTCAATGGACTGAATATTATAATTGTATAAATCACACTTGGAGAGGAAAAGAACAACATAGCCTATGAGCGACAGGAAAAAACTAGTCCTGATAACATGGTCTTAATTATGAAAAGAACATATAATGCCCTTCAAAGGCTCATTTTATAAAACTCCATTCTATTCATATGTCCAATTCCTATAACTCATATGCCTTTCAAAGCTAAGTCTTCAGTATAAAGGCTTAATGTTAGCTGAACTGTCCTTATGATTTGAAAAGATTTAATGATTATCTAAAAAATAAGCCTATAATAGCATTTAAGCTGAACATGTTGTAAATAGGGTCTTGGTGGTTTTATTTTTACACCTTGTACTACAATGTGATCCAATTAGACCATGCTTGTTTATTTGACAGTTACCCGATAGACCAAAAAGAAAAAGATGCAAGGTATACAAGAGGCAAATCGATGACCGTAGCCAAGGGATGTTCTTAAACTGAAAATAATCATAGGAGGCCATAACTCATAGGAAATCAAATGAGAACCTTGGAGAGATTATAAATGGTGAGCAACAGCAAGTATAAATTTTTCATTTAGTAAGTATATGGGCAAAGTTCTGTAACTTGTGCAAGTATCAGCTTGTTCTGCTTTTACTACCTGCTTTTCACTATTAAAATTTTAATGGGGGAGAAGTCAGATAGAATTGGGGATGTAATTGAGCCAATCCCAGACAGTGGCAAGCTTAAGCTTCAGCTCAACTCAATATTCGGAGCTCGATGCTCAACTTAAGCTCGACCGAACATCAAAAAATAAGGTCGAGCTCAACTAGACATATAATCGAGCTACTCAAGCTTGATTACCAAATTTTTACTCAAACTAAATTACTTGAACTTGATTAAGCTCATTTGTATTTAATCTCATGCTCGAGCTCAAACTCAAATTAAGTGTCTTTTGCAGTAAAATAGGGGTATTTATGTAATTTAATAATATAAAATATTTAATTTACTTATTAAAAGCTCGATTAGGCTCGCAAGCCATTCGAGAAGGGTATTATGGTGCTCGAATTTGACTCGATCGATAGCTCACTCTACTTGATCTCGAGCTCGGCTTGTTTATTACTAAATTGAATTCAAGTTTTTTTTTTTGATTCCAACTTGAATAGCTTGCGAATACTAGTTTGATTTACACCCCTAGATAGAATGCACAACAGTTAGCACTTGATAATACAATCTCTTTTAATGTGGCTTGAGCATAAGCCTCAGGTCATGTGATGGGATTAGTCTAACAGAATTTTACTAAGAATAAGGGGTAGGCCTGAATCAGTACTTCATATGAACATATCAGTGTTATTGAAACCCAATTACCATAAGCACCTAGTTGCGAAAAAACAAAAACCAAGATTTTATCAAGTTCATACCTTTACACTGCTAGTAATGGTAGACGCATTTACAACGTGAGGCCAAAGATCATGTTCAGCCAATAGCCCAAGCAATGATGACATGAAGATGTATCTCTCATCCTCTGCAGCCTGAGAAAAGTGATATCATTAACAACTTCCTTTTACAAGAAAAGGGAGAGAATAGGAATGCAAGATAGCAAGCAAGAACATTGTAAAAATACAAACACCCACATGAAAAAAGACTGAATAGTTAGAATTATCCCTTGAAACTCGGAAATTTTGACAACATGGATTGATATCTAGACTCTTCCAAGATGCCCAAAGTGCATACAGACATAACACCTTATACCCATTTAAAAGAACAGTTAGAAAATCACCAAGTTGGTTTGGAGCCAACTGGAAAGTTGTTCAATATGTACCAACTAGAAGATTCTATGACTTTTATGACCTCTCTGATGGGTAGTGAGCAAATGGTAATTACAATGAAATAGCACTACATTAACAATAACTACCTTTTTCACAAATTATATCACATGCATTTCTCTAGTCATATGGTCAACCGAGTGATTGAATCTTTCTTGTAACGTAAGCCATCAATCTAATGATAACAATAAAATTGGTTTTACTCCAGTGGGGAACTGTAGCATGTCCTCTAGTTTGTGAATAGCAATGAAAACAGGGATTTACAAAGGTGACCATGCAAAAGTGACTCCACCACCCCATCCCCCCAAATGGCATCTTGTTCACTATGTTGCTTCATTTCATAGATAGATTCATCAAATTATCAGGGAAATAAATTATGCATAAATACAACTATTCCTAGTATATCATGTTTTCTAAGTTCTTTTTATCCTTGAGCTTGCCTATAAATTCATCGATTATTTGAATTGTAAATATATGTTTCAAACCATGTAATTGTGCATCACTTTAAATTATTGAAGGTGAATCAAACCCTATTCTTAAACTTGTCAATTGTCATTTACATAAGTCAGGATTAAAGAACAACTAGGGACTGATAGAAGAGAGCTTAATTTTTCTCTCTTTTTTTGAATATGTGGTGATTGAAACTATTCCAATTGATTGATCAACTATGTTGCTAAGCATATTGAGTAAACATTTTGGTTTTATTGAGTTATCATCGCAGCTAAAACAGGTCCATTGGCCAAATCACAAGTATTAGAGAGCATATTTAGTCCATTACCTTCTAACTCGAACCTAGAAAATTATCATCTATGTGGAAAGTTTTTGAGGCTCAACAAGTTTTTACTAATTTGCAGAATAAGGCTTTGGCAGTTTAAGCTTAGATAGCTTCAGCAAAGATGTCAAATATTATTATAAAAGAGAACATATTTTATTTTCAGAAATAGACACTATGTCACCTTTAAATCATGGGTCAGCTTTAAATTTTCTTCAAGGTCACCTTTTCTGCGAGCCAATTCATTTGAAGCAGAAGTGATGGATTCATTTTGCTTTTCATGAATTGCCTGTCATACAAAAATGTTGTTATATCAGTTTTTGTGTAAAATCCTAGTCAATCCGTTACAATAAACAAAAAATTAATGCATAGAAATGTGGAGACTATAACGTACCATACGCAAGTCAGAGAATTTCCTCTCCAACGCACATTTTTCATTCAGCAGCTGTAATTCCTGAGACCGTACAGACTAATATGATTCTATGTATGTCAATCAGAAATTTTTGAGAATAAAACACAATCAAATTAGTTGGAAGCATTTTGCATCCAAAAGGAAATAGAAATTAATCTGCATGCAAGAAATAGCCTTCAGAAATGTTAAACCTTCACACATGCAACGGCAATTTGTTCACGAAGACGTTGAATCTCCTCTTTTTGAGCACTAACTCGCAAATGAAGTTCCTATTCATAAAATTTATGTGAGGGAACCACACAAAGCCTCATCATGATTCTAGATTCCACCGTTGGTATGTTCAGAAAGTTCTAGTACCTTAGCCTCTGGACCTTGAAAATCATAAATTCCATCTTCATTTGATTTACTTGGAGCAACATGTGTTTCAGAGCTCTGCCTGCTTAACAAGACAATACTTACTTGAGATGATAACAAAACAATAATACTTTACATAGAATACTCATGGAAGATTGTTAAGTGAAGAAAAAAAAACTGGACCTAGTTAAGGAACTACCTTTTAAGAAATTTGGAGTCTTGTGCTTTAAACCCATCACTATTGATCCCATGCATCGAGTACTCACTAGAAGACATCACATTGTTAGTATAGGTACTCTTCAAGATAGGCTTTGATTGCACCAGAGCTAGTATTTTTCCATCATCACAAACAAAAGCCCACACTGTACCTTCTTTTATTTTCCTGTTCCATATTTCATTGTCCAGAATGTAAAACGGTTGTGCATGATAAGAATACCACTTTCCAGAGCTGCAAGACAATGAATATGAAATAAAAATAGTCAGAACTGGATCCAGATCCAAGACCCAGGAAAGTGATATTGGACTGTATAACAATTTTCTGCTTTTATTTTTCTTTTCTTATCAAGAGTTCATCTGTTAATTTCAACAGTTTCTTGGGAGGGGGAGAGAGAATTTATTAACAATCATTCAATATGCAAAACTATAGATGATCTCAAATTAGTAAGGCCTATCAAGTATAAATGAAAATATACATGAATTACAAAAAAAAACCCATTAAACAAGGCCACACCAATTTCCAGAGAGCACGCGGAACTAGTTGATTGTAGTATGCAGAAGAAATGATCCCACTGTTCAAAGGGCAACAGATGCTGTTCTCGTCCCTCCAATCCAAGCACATCCTTGGAAATTCAATTCCGTAACAGTAATTTTTCATTTTAAACAGTACAAAGAATCCTGTTTTGGTACTTGATACTTCCACACATGGCAGACTCGGCAAACGAAGTGCCTGACCGTAACTAAGACTAAAAACCCAGAAACTAATGAATCCAAAACCGCGGCAACAACAATAAAATATAACTATCTAACCCAGAAAACTTAATTTTCTCTAATTTTTTTTCCAGAAACATAAATCAAAAGTAAACTTCATTAACATGTTATATCCCAAAACTTCCAGACGAGTTTAAATCCTAGAAGAACCTTCAAAGAAAAGCTCCGATGTGCAACAAAGGGAAAATTCGTGTAGCTATACAAAATTGAGTAAGAAATAAATTTGTCCAATAATCTCGGATCCAAACAATAATTTCAAAAAAGGAAGGGAAAGCTTCAATCATTTTTACCTGAGTATTTGGTCCGAGTCTGCCCCCAATTAAAATGGTGAAGAAACCATTGGATTTTTGCAAGGAACGGCAAAGAGAATGCTGTTTTAGCGAAAAACAAAAAATGGGGGAAAATAATAGGATTTTCTTGCACGAGGTGGTTAAATGCTGCTGGTCGTTAGACTTTTCTTTTTCTTTTCTTTTTTTACGAGAGTGTAAATAAGAGGTTTTGAATTTCATCTATGGCCTACTTAGCAAAGTCTACTAAGAATTTTTAATTTTTAGGGTAAAGTACATAAACAGTCACTAAACTTTTGAAAGTTATAAATTACTCATTAATTTTTTTGATTTTATTCTAAAGTAATAAGCATAGTTAATTGGGGATGACATGACATATTAAATTAATAAATAGTATTTGATTTAATCACTTAAATGTAATTAAAATTTTATTTTTGATATTTTCAATATTTATAAATAATAACTTCAAGGGTAAATTACATATATAGTCCTTAAGCTATCAGTTTGTTTCATTTTAGTACCTAAATTTTCATTTGTTTCAAAATCATGCTTAACTTTTAGTTTTCGTTTCGGTTAATAAGCATAGTTTCAAAGATGCTAGAGTTCCTCATTTACACTTGTTCACCATTCTTCATATCCTCGAACTCGGTAAACAATTCTTATTTGGCACAAAAATGTTTGGAAGCGCAGGTGTCAATGATCTACTCAACATTATTCTCCACCAGGTTGACTTCAGAAACCAATGCCGCTATAACATCGTCAATTTTCTAAGTAATGTTCAAATGTGGTTTATTCTCATTATGGTGGTATGATCTTTGTTGTCATTGGTAGGCTTTGTGTCTGTACCGTCCACACACATAGTAGTTAAAGGGCTTTGGTGGGACCTTCTCCTTCGCATGCTTCTTGAAGTTGACGACTTTCTAGGATTTGACCTTTGGCTTTTGGTCACCTCATCCTTTGGGTTTATTAAACTTGGCCCCTGAGACAGACCCATATTCAACCAGATTAACCTTAAAAGAAATATTAGTAGAAGAAGTCAACTTATCCTTAATTCGATTGGCTTCTTCTATTTTCATGTGGCTCACTAGCTCTTCAATAATAAACACCCTATTCTTGTGTTTCAAAGAATTGTGGTAGTCAGACCAAGACTTGGCAGTTTTTCGATAAGGAAATTTGCTTGTAGGACTTCACACATCTTTATACCCTCGGTTTGGATGTTGGAAACTAACTTCTCATATTCATGGATTTGATCCATGATTGGCTTGTCATCGGACATCAAGAACTTGAGCCACTTGCCCACCACGCACTTCTTTATGACAGCGTCATCGGCTCCGTAATTCTTCTTTAGTGTATCTCATATCGCCTTTGCACTTTTCTCCTTAAGAGACATGTGAAAAAGTTCATTTGACATGTGACTTAGGAGAAAACCACGAACTATTTTGTTATCATTTTCGTACTTCTCTGAGGACGTCTAGGAAGGAACAACATTTACAATGACTGGAAGGAGTGGGAGTCGAGTAACCTCCGACAACATTTAAGGAGGCATCTAAAGATGACAAGTAGGTTGGGACGTCGGCTTGAGCAACACATAATCAAAGGTCATGTTGTTCGAAGAAAATTATTATCCTCAGGGTCGACCTCCGATAATTTGTCCCATCAAGAGTATCAAGTTTGGATAGATTAGGAACAAGCTTAGCCATGGTATTCAGCATTCTGCAATTTAAAATTTGTTTCTAAATTGTTGGAAACAGAAACTGCAAAATGAAACCTTTAGCACTGGCTAGATATTAATAAAATAATTAAACAATAAAACAAACAACCGTGTCGTGGTATAAACCACTACCTTAGAAATGAATTTTTGTATTGATGTGTGTAATCATCGTTATAGGAGGTAGTCCCCCGAGATTATCACGGCTCTCTAAAAATTCGTACACTCAAATTTTCAGAATAGACAATGGTGGAAATGCTCTTCTCACCGGAAAAAGGAAGAAAACTTTTGAGAGAATTTGTAAATGAAAGAAAATGTTTTCAATCGTTGGATGATCTGAAAATGAGAAAAATCATCTCTATTTATAGGCTAAATGAAATGGGTAAAATCGTAAAAAAAGAATCAATAATAAACACTGATTTATTTTCGAATTAATCATATAATTAATTATGCAATTCCTCTGTTAATAGTTGGTTGAACTTGGACACAAAACAATCTAGATTCATGCTGAAAAAATAGTTGTTAAACCAACTATTATATCGGTTAAAATTAAGACTCATTAATTTACTGATAAGATCACGAAATAAGATTCAAACGTGGCTTCAAAACTGTCTAGGTTAAACCATAGAAACATATTAATTAAAAAATTTCTAGAAAGGAACTATTGTAAATTCACAACATATTAAATTTTGATATGTTATCTGTCAGCCTCAAAGATACATGTTACCACAAGCTAGTCGACCAGACAACGACAGTAGCGGCAACACGCGCATGCAAGAGAGTACCTTATCCACATTCAACAATGAAAAGAGAAAGACTCTCTTTAAATACCCTTCACAAGGAATGTTTCCTTCCAATGTGGGATGCAATACTAATGCATAGACAAGCATTACAACAATATACAAATGGCTTTTTGGCCCTTCTAAATGATAAAATATGAATTTTATCATTTTAAAATTTATAAAATTATATTTTTAATCATTAAAAGTTTATAATTTTTTTATTATAAACAAATTCGTCCATGAAAAGACGGTTTTTTTTTACCAAATTAGGAGATCTGGGTCTTGAAAAATTGATCATATCTTATAAAAACATTAGAGAGGGAGAGGGCGGAAAAAATTTAGAATAAAAAATAGGGTAAATTACATGTTTAGTATTTAAATTGTTATTTTTATTATGTTTTGGTATTTAAATTTATTTTTTGTTAAAACTATGTCTAACATTTAGTTTAGATTTTATTTTGGCATCTCATCATTAAAAACTTATGAGGACTGTTGTATATGTGGCATTTTTATGGATAAATCACGTCATTCATCACTTGACTATTTTCTCAATCTTGTTTTGGTCATTAAAGTTAAAAAATGTTCAATTTAACTACTCAACTTTCAAAATACTCTTGTTTTAATCACTATAATTTATTTTATTAATAAATTTTATGACATGAAATTTTTATTTTTATTATTATTATATTAATTTATAATTTAAATAAAAAATTTAAAATTAAAATTTAGAGTGATTAAATTAGGAGTGATTTGAAAGTTAAGTATTTAAATTAAAAAATTAAACTTCACTGACCAAAATAAGAGTGAGAAGATAGTTTAGTGATGAATGATGTAATTTACCCATAATAAAATGCCACGTAACATTTCCATTTTTAACGGCAAGATATCAAAACAAAACAAAAAGTAAATATTATGTATGATTTCGGGGAAAAAAGAAAGTTTAGGTACTAAAATGGGATAAAAGGAATAAATTAGGTATTAAATTTGTAATTTGCCCTAAAAATTATATATGCGAAAGAAAATTAAAGATTAAGGATTTTTCAGATATTAGTGGATGAAGAGAAATTTATTTTTATAAAACATTATTTTTTTTTTCAAAATTGTTTGTGGGGTTAATTAATAATTTATATGAATTTTTAAAAATAAATTTACTTTTTATCAATTGAATCCATAATATTTCTTTGCCGATAAGTAAACAGACTAAACAATAGCTAAAAGTTAGTTAAAGATGTTCTAATTTGATATTAAAACATCTATTTAAATAAACCCTTATTGTATTAGATTTCTAAGTCTATCCGTTTAGAAGATTTTAGACCGAAAGACAAGAAGAAAAATTGGCGTGATTTCTTTTTCAAAAAAAAAAAAAAAGAAATTTAGGATAAACATTTTTCATTAAAATTTAGGATAAACAATAGGTTTAGTGTCTCAACTATTACTTTTTTTTGTTCATTTAATTATTTATTGTTTTAAAATCATATTTAACTTTATATTTTGGTCACCTATTATTGAAAAATTAACGGTGATGCCGATGTGTTATCAAAAAGCAATACCACGTAATCATTAAAAATTGCAAAAATGGCATGTAAGCAGTTTTGTTACCTTTTTAACGATGAGTGATCAAAATAAAACTAAAATATAACATTAAGTATAATTTTAAAAAAATAATTGAATGGTTAAAATGAAACAAAAATGATAGTTACAATGCTAAATATATAATTCACCCTCAAAATTTATCCTTGGTTCTAACTAGTAAAGTTCATCGATTTCATTCTTTTTTCAAAGTAAATCTTTACCTCTTTTTTACATGTAAATAAGGAGTGAGTAATTATTTAGAAATTATTTTGAGATGGATGAGTTTTATTATGTAATACCATAGATTATGTGGTAAACCGATCCCATTGAATAATTTCTTGAAGAAATGAATCGGAGTGATTATTTGCAGTCTCAAATATTATGTTCACACATATGGGAATAGGGTTTTGTTGTTGTTGTTGTATATATATATATATTCATATAAATTTTAATATTTTAATTTTCCTTTTTAATAGTTTAAAATAAAAATAAAATAATATTTATTTAGAATTATTTTTGGTCTGCTGATATTGTATACATATTTTATACACCCAACTATGCATATCCAATTTTTTTAAGAGAAAAATGTTTTTTATTATTGATATAATTTAATAAATTCAAAAAAAATTTAAGAGAACAATGCCTTTTTATTATTGATATAATTTAATAAATTTAAGATTTTCAAGAGAATAATTTTTTTTATTATTGATATAATTTAATAAATTTAAATTTTAATGCTTAAAAGTATTAAATTTAATTATTTTCTATAATATATTAGTGCCGTATTCTATTTGGTTCATTATTTGGTCCACTTTACATAGTAATATGAGCCGCCTATGGGGACCGACCATCACAATTTTTCCATATTTTCCAAAATTTTCTTCTCTTTCATTTTAGTTATTGGCTTAATATCGCTTTTGCTCCATCTACTTTATTCTAACTTTTAATTTAACCCGTCATTATTTTTCTCAGTTTATTCATTTACTATTACTCTATTTAACTCTTTCTTCTTTGTTGTTATTGTTTTAGAAATCACATG